GACTGATGACAAGTAGTCTCCCACAAGGAAAATCCTGTACTGAGCTTCAAAAGATGGGGGCAACCATCTTGTTTGCTAGAATTTTGGGGTACCAGAGCACTGGGACTCACTGGTGCTGTGAGCTCCCACCCTACTGGACACAACTGCTTGGCAGCTGCCTACAGCACAGGAAGCTCGTCTACATAAAGCTGAATGGTGCTGGCTCCTGTGTTTGATTTCCAGGTTCCGAGACACAAGGAGAACTAAAAATATCCCAATTAACCATTCTTTTTCAACACAAGATTTGACGATCGTGCCACAAGGGTATTATACAACTACGAACAGGAACATGTGGTCTGCAAATCAAAAAGAAATCAAACTGAGAAAACAGGTGGCCAGGACCATAACCTCTGAATTCAAGTGTGGACCACATCCAAAACTGTGGAGGAGCTTGTGCTACTTGCAATTGCAGTGGCTAGCTCTGAGGGGCTTGCAAGCTTTCTGATGTGACACGCACAGGGTATATAATTTCTGCTCTGCATTGCTTATATACAGGAATCTTGTTCTGGCAATAGCCCATGGAAGCTGTCTCCTGGGTCAGCTGGCTCCTTAGCTGGATGCCATGCAGCACATCAGGAATCAAGCAGGGAACTTTTATTCCTGGTCAAACCCATTGCCTCTGCTAGGCTCCGCCGCTAAGGATTTCTTCACATGCAGATTTAGCAGCAAATTTTTTTATCACTGCCCAATCTTTACATTGACATCTAGACTTTAAACATAGTCTGTGGGTAATACTGGAGTACATTACTCACAGCAGTGCACCTGGGAGAACCAGCAAATCCTCTCCATTTGAGCCCGAGCGTCGACTTTACCCTGGAATTACATTTATCTCTCTGGCACTAGGCTCTCATTAATGGAATTACCAGGCAGGCTGCTTCAGACTTAACACTTGAGAGAAGCGGGCTGGGATGGCTCCACTCCAGCCTCAGCCCGAAAAGCCGGCACTGTTTCTCCATCCTCCAGTGAGCTGCAGCCCTAACGAGCCTGACCCCGTGACGAGAGCCAGGGAAACAAAAGGAACAACCCCGAACTGTCCAGGGCAATCAATATCTTTCTAGGAACATCCAGGCTTCTTGCCAGCTTTCTTCTAACCCCGATTTAGCTCTTCTGCAGTGCAGAGGGGGATGGCACGCGCAGAAGCAACCCAGCGGGATGCAGAGCCGGCAAGCGTGGCTGGCACTCGGGGAGGCCAGTCTACAGCAGTCCTTCTACAAATACCTCACACTGAGGGTGTCAAAGCAAACACACAACTACGGAAAGCACCCATCCACCTCGAAAATCAGAGCAAGCACTCCAGTCTGAACACTTGTTTTAGAAATACCACTGCTACTTAAAATGGGGAGGCGTATCGTAGCAAACCAGCCAAAATTGCTAACCTCAGCATGAGAGGTTACCCTGCACTGTCTAGAAAACTGCCTTCCATCGCACAGCAGCTACTGCACTGCCATGCTGAGCAATCTGCAGCGTGGCATGAACTGGATACTTAAAGCACCCCTTCACCACCCAACAAAATGGACAACTGGGAGCATCACAGGCTGCTGAAAGCCAAAGGGGATGCAGCAATCAACCCTACTGCAAAGCTCCACTGATAGCTCTGCAGTTTCAGCACCTCTGTGGGCTGTTCTTTGCACAGAGCAGCTGTAGGCTTCTTTAGATGGCCTTTTCCCAGTCACCTGCAAAGGGACTTCTCAAATCTTGGCATGGAGTGAGCACAAGGAGAAAACAGAAATTCACCACAACTTGAACAATGTTTGCCCCAGATATATAGACCCAGGAGCACAGCACTGCCAAACCAAGTGGAAGATAGAAATGGTAAAGCAAGGAGAAAACTGACTTGCAGAGTATAGACATGCCCTTACCAGCTTGAACTGTGGGAGCTGAACTCCTCTCTCCTGTAATTAAAAGGCAGGAGAGGAAAGCATTGGAATTACCCCAGTGTGACTGTGAAGGACTGACAAGCTTTGAGTTTCAAAGTCCATCTTAACACACACACTTTGGTGCAATTTTAATCCTAAAGAAAAGGAAAAAAAAAAGGTTTTGCTGCAAGAAAAGCTGCCATACAACGTTGGTATTAAAGAACACAAGGTGCAAATGAGGGAGGACTGTGCCTGGGGTTGACCAAGCAAAGCTGAAGGCAGACCTGTCTTCCCCCCTGCCCCTGCATTTGCTCTGCCACTTACTCTCAGCAACATAAGGATTCAGAGAGACAGACTGCCCCGTGACAGGAAAAACACATGTAACACCCGGGCGGTGAAACCTCACATCTGAGAGCATCTATGCAAAACACAGCCTGAAACATATTTTCCAGCTCCACAGAGTCAACTTCATGTTTTGCAAAGCCGAGCTGGTGAAACACTACCAGTTACATCCAAGGTGAGATTTGCCAGCAGATGTTACTCTCAAGCATCTCCCTATTTTCTGCATATCAGAAAAAAAAA